AGAGGATGTTGGTGATTTCGAGTCTGATTCTGTTAGCGTCGTCGGGGTTGATTTTGGTCAGGCTGGTTTCAACTCCACATATAATGGTTTCAGTGAGGATGTGTTTGGGAGTGACTGCAAAGTTGAATCCTTTGGAAAGGACATTGGTTTCGGCTTTGGTGAGGATCCACATACAAACCCCTAAATACAGATCCCACCACCTACCTGGAAAAAACCACCAGATCCAAAATAACAGCCTTCCCCATTAGCGAAGAGATCCAGCAAAGAATCATTCCCAGAGAGAAATCATCCAGATGCCCCAAACTCTATGGTCTCCCCAAGATACACAAAGAAGGAACCCCACTCAGACCTATAGTCAGCTCCATAGGCTCACCTCTATAAAACCTAGCCAAATTTCTCGCCAAACAACTACAGCCCTATGCAGAATCCATCACCTCACACGTAAAAAAACTCATTCCAGTTTATAGAGATCATAAAGAAACAAAACTTACAGCCCAGTGACCTACTAGTGAGCTTTGATGTCATATCCCTCTTCACCCAAGTGCCTATCAAAGAAGCCTTGACAGCTATTCAAAACAAATATAACCCCCCCAAACACATCTTAGATCTGACCAACCACTGCCTATCCAACACATACTTCATCTATAATGGACAAAAAATACAAACAAACAGAAGGAGCACCCATGGGATCACCCCTCTCACCTGTCATTGCCAACCTCTACATGGAACACTTTGAAACCCAAGCTCTAGAAAAATCGGATCACAAACCCAAACTCTGGCTCAGATACGTAAATGACACCTTCATAATCTGGCCACATGGGAAAGAAAAACTGGACAACGTCCTCACACACCTCAACAGCCTACACCCCAAAATACAGTTCACCATGGAAACAGAAGCTAACAACCAACTTCCCTTCCTGGATATCTTAGTCTACAAGAAATCCAATGGCTCCCTAGGACACACCACCTACCAGAAGAAAACACACACAAACCGCTATCTGCGTGCTCTCTCACACCACCACCCAGCACAGATCAACTCTGTAGCCAAGACACTCATCTCCAGAACAAAACGCTTAGCTGACGAACAACACCTAAAAATCGAACAACACACTCTCACCAATGTACTAACATCCAATGGATTCCAAAGAAATAAGATTACAAACCTAATCCAAAAAGAAACCCCCACTAAAATACAAGACAAAGAACAAGAAAATGGCAAAGCCCTCCTCCCATACATAAAAGGCACCATAGACAGAATCAGTAAGATCCTCCATAAACACAACATCAAAACAGCATTCTGCACAAACAGAAAAATATCCACCATCCTTAGAAACCCAAAGATAAAATTGAATTAGAAAATCAAGGAGTATACGAAATCCCATGCACCACTTGTCCCACCACATACATCGGACAAACCAACAGAAGAATAAGTGCACGCATTGAAGAACATACGAACTCAGTCAAAAAAGAGGAACCAACATCTTCCCTGGTCCAACACCTTAAAGCCACAGGACATGAAATTGACTTTAAAAATACCAGAACCATTGCCAAAAGTGAACATTTAAATAACAGAATAATCAGAGAAGCCATCGAGATAGAAAAACGCCCACACAGCATGAACAAGCGAGATGATACCTCCCGCCTACCAGCCATTTGGAAACCCGCCCTTATTGACAAACGACTCCCTAACACAAAAAAATGATACCAGACCCACACTCACAAAAACCACACAGGATGTCACCACCACACATCCACGCAAAAAGCAAACCCAAAGCCACACCGATGATGAGGCACGATCACAAACCAGAAGGCAGACCACAGCTGCATCATTAGCCACTTTAAACCCCTCCAATCCATACATGAAACAAACTGACACCCTCCATGAAGATGAGGCACAACCACGAACGTGAAGCCAAAAAATAGCAAGGCAGCCCAAAATCTTAAACCCCCCTGCAACTCAGACTAATCTGAGCACAACCAAACGGAACACTACCCCAGCCAATCAGAGCACAGCCAACCCCCCAGCCAATCAGAGCACAGCCAACCCCCCAGCCAATCAGAGCACAGCCATGCCCCTAACCAATCAGAACACACCTCCACCCAATCAGAACAAAGCCAAGCTCCCACCCAATCAGTTCATACCCCCACTGGCAGTTAAAAGGAAGAAACAGCTAAGACCACACATTGCTCCTCGAAGCACGAAGCTGAAAGCACCAGCCTGAGGATGACGAATGGGACTTCGTCAAAACGTCGCCAAGACACTTCCAATTTTACGCGGGAGAAAACCCGAACAACCAAAGACCTACATACAAACACCCGCGAAAACCTCAGAAAACAAATATTACATACAAACACCCGCGAAAACCTCAGAAAACAAATATATATATATATATATATACAAACACAATACTGATTTGCTCTCCTTAAACCTGCTACACTTTTTGAGTAGATGGAAAAAGGAAAATAAACCAATTAAGAGACAAAAAGATATCGGGAAAGAAGAGAAAAAAAATAAACTCCCCCCCCCCTAATTTTATATTTTAAAAACATGAGCAAAGCACATTGCCAGCTTCAGAGAGCTGAGGATTGAAATAACGATTTGTGTGAGTGTATTGGCTCCAAAATGGATTGAATTACACTCCATTGAAATGCAAATGAAATTAATTTTTTCCCCTTGTGTAGCAGGAGGAGAAAGGATGAGTCAAAGGAGAGGAAGGAAAGAAATGGAAGAAAAATTAAATAGAATATCCACAAGAAAAATCCTTCAGAGAGGGAGGTCAGTTCCAGCTTGTTTTCAGCCTTTTTATTATTGGTTTTTTTTTCTTTTTTCAGCCTTTTCTATTAAAAGGGGCTGTCGCAGAGAAGCAGGGATCAACCTATTTTTCCAAAGTATCTGAGGGCAGGACAAGAAGTAACAGATGGAAGCTAATCAAGGAGAGAAGCGACCTAGAATTAAGGAGAAATTTCCTGACAATGAGAACAATTAGTCCAGGGGTGGGCAACCTTGGCTCTTTTATGACTCATAGACTTCAACTCCCAGAATTCCTGAGCCAGCCATACTGAGGGAAAAGGGAAAAGTTTTCATGCTGAGCCATGCTGGCTCAGGAATTCTGGGAGTTGAAGTCCACGAGTCATAAAAGAGCCAAGGTTGCCTACCCCTGAATTAGTCAGTCGAAAGTCTTGCCTTCAGAAGTTGTGGCTGTTCCATTCCATGAGGTTTTAAAGAAGAGATTCGACAACCATTTGTCTGGAATGGTATAGGGCCTCCTGCTTGAGCAGGGGGTTGGACTAGAAGACCTCCAGGGTCCCTTCCAACACTATTATTCTATGTTCTATAAAAGATAAAGATTCAAAGATCAACTCTTGGTGAAAACACAAGTGGTCCATCTAGTTTTCTTGACAAAAAGGGCTGGTTTTCCCCTCTAAAGGCTGGGTCCCTTTATATTGTGCTTGGCACTCAGGCAATTGCAAGGCAACCTACTTCAGAAAGAGCTTGTCCTTCTGGTGCATGAAACTCAGGCGGGTTAGTTAAAAATTACCCACCCCATGTGCACTATGATATCAAAGGAGCGGCACTGGAGATGTAATTTCTTCAAATCAGTCTCCTGCCCTCATCATCATCCTGCACCTCTTCTCTCAGAGAACATCTAAGAACTGTTTCAATTCATGTAAGAAGTACAGTAGCATGCTTTGACATCAGTTCTGGATTTTTGCTTGTTTTTTTTTTATTTTAACAAATGCTTTTATGGATTTTACATGTTGCTAACTGCCTTGAAACAGTTGGAGTAGCAGTCTATAAGGATGACTGATGAATGGATGGATGGATGGATGGATGGATGGGAGTGGCTTGCCTTTGTCATCTTCTGGGAGGCTTTTGCAACTTTTCAGTTGAGCTTATATCCTGGATTTCCTAGTAATCTACCATCAAAGTACTAGTAGAGCCCATGCTGCTTTAGCTTCCCCTTGGTCTACCAAGATTGGTTAGATGCAGTTACCTCCGTTGGAAAGTAGCTTTCTATCTATGCCACCCTTCTAACTGTGTAATATTTTTTCTTTTTCTATCACTTTCCTAACCCCATTCTGTCTTCTGCCACTGCATGCCTTCCCCGTCAATCCAAATAGCTTGCTGGTGGAATCTGTCCTGTAAGCGTGAAGGAGGCAGTACGGACAGCTCGTTTTGACGCCTGAGGAGAAGAGGGTCCATATGGCAGAGGGACTATATGAAATGGAGAAACCCACCTGATTTCTCCATTCCATTCTTGGATCCCCAAGCAAAATGCAAAGTTTTTCAAGAAATAATTTCACAGAAAATGACGAAGGATGGTTTGAGAGGTATTTGAATGGATAATAGTAGGATAGGAAGGAAGGTCCAAGCCTGAAGAAGACAGTCCTCAAAGTTAGTTCTGAACAGGAGATGGAAGCACACAATTAAACCTTTCTTCCATTCACACAATGCAGCCAACTATCTAGACTGCTTTAATTAGGCAAGAAAACAGGGGGTTTTTTTGTTTTTTGTTTAGCAAACACGTCATTTAAATAAATGCTTCATAGAGTCTTTTTTATCATTAGCCCTTTTATTATAAGATCATCAACATCATCACTCCCAGGAAGAAAATTTGGGAATAACAAGATAATGAGAATTGTGGAGGAAACGTTCTTAGAACCATCTGCACTCAGAAACTGAACTTCTGAAAGGAATCTGACCAGAGCTTCTTCCAACGTGGTGTCTTCCATGAATATAGGCCAATGATGGCGAACCTTTTAGAGACCGAGCACCCAAACTGCAACCCAAAAACCCACTTATTTATCGCAAAGTGCAACAAGGCAATTTAATCTGAATACTGAGGTTTTAGTTTAGAAAAAACAATTCATACACTAACATCTTTTGTCTTAAAAGAAAAACACAATAACAAAGCTTTCAATGATACAAACAACTTTTTACTGATAGGTAAAAGTTTGCATTTGGCATGCTTTTGAACAATTAATATGATTTTTGCTGTTGTATGCCTGCTGATAATTTGTCTAACCTTGGCTTATACTTCATAAGTTTGAGAGCAACACATGCAGCACTCAAGTCACCTGTTAGTCTGTTTCTGGTGTCAGATTTGATATAATTCAAAGCTTAAAACAGTACACTCATTCCAGAGGCTTATTTTGGCTAGGAAGGAGCTTAAGAAAAGGCTTTTTCCTGTGAAAACTTAGCCAACTTAGCATGCGTGCCCACAGAGAGGGCTCCAAGTGCCCCCCTCTGGTACGTGTGCCATAAGTTCACCACCACTGATATAGGCCTACAATTCTGAGAATCCACAGAGTCCACACTGGCTGAGGGTTATGGATATAGCTGCTGCTGATTACTCACAGCTGTTGGCCCACACTAGCTGGGAATCCCAGGAGTTGTAGTTCCAACACATCCAGAAGTTAGTTGAACTTGAGAAGTGTGAATTTGAGAGGCAGAAGGCCTGGGGATTTTTTGATGCTGAAGAACAATCCAGAAATCCAATTCAAGACTCAGTTCTCCTTTAGGGAAAATTTTGGAGACTCTACTGAGATGGCAATCAAGGCTTGGGCAAGGTAGTAAGTGCTCATGTACAGGATGTGGATAAGAGGGTGGGAGGTGCAGAATTTCTCATAACCAACCAGCAGATCAGACACAATGAAGATCAAGCTACCCGCTGAAGCCAGCCTTTTGGAGCAAAACAGTGCGCGCCAGGTCATGACGCCGAGGAGGCCTGAATAAAACAGCACTGCCCATGTGTAGAAACCTGACAAACAGGGCAGCAGGATCACCACGTAACCCACAGCCATGAGTCCCTCGATGACCAGTAAGGTGAGAGGTTGAAGAGGAGCCAGGCCAAAGGCTGCGATGTAGCAGATGTGGCAGATGGCAAAGGCACCCATTCCTGTAAGGGGAGAAAAGGCGAGTGAATAAAAACAGCCACATGGGCTACATTGCTCCCTCAAGCTCAGCCACCGCCAATTCAGTCACTTTGGAAGCCTCATCTGGCTTGTTACTTCAGATGCACAGGATTATTCTGTAATTGCAGCTTGCTAAGCCAAGAAAAGGCACTCTGAATATGACCTACTAAATGGCTTCATTCAGTCTTGGACTATTGTCTACCTTCTGTCCCTAATTTGATGCTTAAGTGCTCTTTTCAACTGGGAAAGAAAAGATACAGGCACAGCAGGGCTAAAAGATAGCTATGTTTATTCTGGATAAATATTTAATGCCTTACTCTCTAATGCATGCTCCAAAAAGGAAGAACATGATTCAGGTTGCCTGTTTCTTGAAGACTGTATTATTGTGTTTTGGGGTCTCACTTTCTCCTTTCCCCCTTAACTGAAAACTCCCTGACAAAATGTCTCCCCGTCATTCGTTTGCATTTATTTTTTGACCAACAGACATATTGCCAAAGCTGTCAAATCCTCAATTTATCTTGTCAATATTTTAGCAGTGGGGGCTGGCCAGGGGGCACATTTCCCAAAAACTAGATTGCAGACCAGCTGCCATATTTATTTCTAAGACTATTCAGAGATATTCTTGGAAATAAAGATATTTTAGGTGGATGAATGCTTTGAACAGTACCGGTAGACCTCGACTTATGATCATCCATTTAACAACTGTTAATGGCACTGAAAAAAGTGGCTTACAACAAGGCCTTGCACTTACAAACAGTACTTACACTTACAACCCTCATAGCATACCTGCAGTCATAAGATAAGATAACCTTTACTGTCATTTTTTTACTGTGGGCACATCAGCACCCGTCAAAAATGGGTCTAGTCTCTTCTTTGAGAGTTGCCCGCTCTCAAAGTGAAACACATACATGACATACACCTAAACATACTATATACAACGTATGTATAGATCCACACCCCTACATATACATAACAAATAAATATTAAACACTGTCCATCTTAAATATATAACGGAAAGAGGAAGCTTGAGAGTTCACAAGGTTAATGCTGTATGGAATGAAACTCTGGCTGAATCTGGATGTTCTGCTAAGGATACCACGAAGCCTCCTCCCAGAAGGTAACAAGGAAAACAGGTCTGAAGAGGATGTATAATGTCCCAGATAATCTTACAGACCCTGCTCAAGCAGCGCTTCTGTGCTATGTCCTGGATGGGAGGGAAGGAACTGCCAATGATTTTTTCAGCCATTCTTACCACTCTCTGCAACGCCTTCCTGTCTGAAGCAGTGATGCCTCCAAACCAGACTGTGATGCTGTATGACAGGATGTTCTCAATTGTCCCCCTGTAGAAAGTGGTCAGGACAGGGGAAGGAAGATGTGCTTTTCTCATGCGATTACGATTCTGGGGATTTGCAACTGGCATGTATTTGTGACAGTTGCAGCATCCCAGGGCTACCTGATCACCATTTGTGATACTCCCAAGGGGCTTCTATTAAGCAAAATCAATGGGGAAATCTGGAAATGCTTAAGGACTAGTGACATTTGCTTAGCAATGATAGTACAAAAATTGTAAAATCAGGTGCAACTGAATGACTGCTTTGCTTAGTGATGGAAGTTCACAGCTGTAGTCATAAGCTGAGGACTACCTCTATCCATTTAACATCAGATGTGGCAGAGGGTTTAGTGGTAACCAGGAGAGGTATCTATGACACCAGATTGAAACCCATAAACTGCCTTTGACAGAGTTAAAAGTGTTCATCAGAAAGTACCATTGATGTCTCCCTCAATCTATTAATATAACAAACTACCCCAACGAGCTACTATTGAAAGTTTACTACAGAACCATGCATTAGTTACCTATTCATCTCTAAAGGTAAAGCAGCATTGTTTTACCACACTTTTAATTTTAAGAGATACAATTTATATACATTATTTGTTTCAATGCTATGTTCATGATTTTATTTTATTTTTAAAACTTGGATAGGTGAACATTTCTTGTTTTATCTTAATCTACAGACTGGGATTTCTCAAGATTTAAGGCAGGCTGAATTCCCCTGCTTGTTTGGGCAAGAATGAGAACAATCTTTCCCAGTCTGGTACCTTCCGGCTGTGCCAGATCCCAGGGCTCATAATTGTCAGCCACTCCAAAGACAATCAAGCCTCAAACTGCGACATCTGGAGTGGATGTGCTTTTAATATTGTCTTTCTATTTACATGATTGTAAGGAACAACTAGTTCAGGGGTCTTCAAACTTGGCCCTTTTATGACTTGTGGACTTCAACTCCCAGAATTCCTCAGCCAGCAAAGCTGTACTAAGAGATATACAACTCTTCAAACCAGTTCTATGCATTGTCCTCCTCCATATTTCCTCCCAAATGTTTTATTATTTATTTTTGGAAAATTTATATAGCTGCCTACTTGCTCACGACGACTTTATCTTGCAATAAATATACCTTTAGATTTTATTTCTTCTTATGGCGCTTGTGTTATGTATTTAGCTGGCTCCATCATGTGGTGGGAATTGGTATTAGACATGACAAAGCAAATTACAGGTACGGTAGTTCTTGACTTACAACCACAACCGAGCCCAAAATTTCCACTGCTAAACAAGGCAGCTGTTAATTTTGCCCCATTTTACGACCTTGCTCGCCACAGTTGTTAAGTGAATCCCAGCAGGTGTTAAGTTAATACCATGGTTGCTAAGTGAATCTGGCTTCCCCATTGACTTTGCTTGTCAGGAGATTGCAAAATGGTGATCACATGACCCCGGGATACTGCAGCCATCATAAATATGCGGTTGCCAAGCAACTGAACTTTGATCATGTGACCATGGGGATGTTGCAATGGTCATGTGAAAAACCGTCATAAGTCACTTTTCTCAGTGCCGCTGTAACTTCAGTCAGTAAACAAATAGTTGTAAGTCAAAGACTACCTGTATTGGCTTTTCCACTTCTCAGATGGTGGCACGATGCTTTGTTTTTATGCCATGTCTTCCCAATCTTGCTCTCATTTCATCCCTAGCCCACCTCTGAGCTATTTGCAGCCATCTTTAGCTTTCTGGTTTTAAAGTGGTATTTCTCATCTTCTTTCCACACAGTTGTTGCTCTGGAAATTGTCTAGGCAGCTTCCCTAAGGATGTTGTTAAAGATGTGTTCAACAGTTGGAAACTGCCCAGCTCCTATTTAACCCTTCAGGCTCCTTCAGGTGCACTCCTGCCCCTGCGCACTGCCCTCCATGGCCACGTTGGTTTAGCTTGCAGGAGAGACCAGACATCTTAGCTTCCCTAGAGACATCTGCCCCCATGAGGCCTGGCTGCCATGTCATTGTGGACACCTTTAAAATCCTTGTTTAGAAGACTCAGTGTGCTAAAATCTGTGTTTAGAAATCAGCATTTGTGCTTTTTAGAGAGCACTGGCCCTGTGCTGCATGGAAAATCACTTCAAGCTGGAAAAGAAATGTGCATTCTACTATTTCTGGATTCCTGTCCCCAGTGAGTGCATTAGATTTTTTTCCCCCTCTTCAGTCAGGACCTTCACTGAGCCACACTAGTCCTTTTGTTCTTTTCATCACTTTGTGTGTTTGTGTGTCTGTGTGTGTGTGGTACTGTTGTGTCTAAGCACAGCTACTTGTAGATTCTGCCACAGTACAGACAGACAGTGATAGCCCTATATCCCTGTATTTGTGGGCAATAGTTAATGATGATGCTCACTGTTCATTGATTGCTTCCTCCTCCAGGTCTATGACCTGCTAATCAGGCTTCTTTAGGACCTGTGTTTAATGCACTTTGAGAAAAGCACTCAAGCCATGTTCAGAAATGGCCCAATGGACAGGTAACGAGGTGGAACATCTCCCCACCTGCAACCTGCTATTTGGTAGTTAAGTTGGCTAAGCATTCAAATAAATTCATCTAGCCCAGTGATTCTCAACCTGTGAGTCGGGACCCCATTTGGGGTCGAACGACCATTTCACGGGGGTCGCCAAACAACGCAGTCTGCCATTTTTTCCCCTTTTCCTTAGCTGTGCTACTCCCTTTTATTCTATTGGCTTTCGAAAGCCAATAGGAATTGTCCAGGCTGTCTCTGCCCTGCTGAGCCCGCCAAAAGTCCCATTCTGCAAACGGTGCTGCACCAGTTGAGTAGTCCTCAACTTACGACCAGTTGGGGGGTCATGGCATTAAAAAGGTTGAGAACCACTGATCTAGCCCTACTTCATCCCACAGAGTGATAGGCAGTAGTTTTTCCTTTGAGCAGGGAAGTAAAACCAGAGAAACCCCACAATTCCTTCGCTTAACTTGTCCTGCATTAAAATAGTACCATTTGCTATCCTAATTACCAAGATAAAATTGGCAATGAAGGCAGCATAATTTATTAGTAGATTTTTATCCTGCCCTTGTAATATATAACTCAAGGCAGCAATCATACCTACTATTCCTTCCTCCTGCTTTTCCCACCAAAACTCTTGAGAGGGGTTGGATTGAGTAAGTAGTGACTGGCTCAAAGTCCCCCAGCCAGCTGGCTTTCATGCCTAAGATAGGACTAGAATTCTCAGAATCCTGGCTTCTTGGCCAGCACCTTAACCACTGATTAGACTAAATTGACTCTCTTTATGCCAGTATATATTTTTTCTGCCAGATCATGCATTGGAGAAAAGCACTTTATTGTGTGTCTGGCTGTTTCCTCAGTAGATCCAGGCTTTGAGGTTGAACAGTTATGCTCTGGGTTGTCTTTGTCAACAACGATAACATACGTAAATTATGTACAAGCACTCACATGGACACATCTAAAATAAACACCATCATCAATCAGCATACAGGAATTATGGTTCTCCATATGTTACTGAATTGCACTTCCCAACAATCAATATGGACTATGGGGAGAGGTGCTGGAATCTGTAGGTCAGCAATAGCGTAGCTACAGGACTATGGATGTCCATCTCTGAGAGAGATTGTTCAAACAACAGGTAGGATGAAAAATAGCAGACAATAATCACTAGTGAGTAATAGATACGATAACAATAGGTGAACAAAATACCAAATCCAGCCTAAGCATCTGGCTCATGAACTATATTGCAATATTATAAGAGTGCTTACTTTTCATCTACAACTGTTGGGAGATAAGGAATCGTTCCCCTGCAAAGTAATGGTCCTTTTGATTTGGTGATTAAGCTACTGAAATCATTGAAACCATTCCCAAATTCTAGCCTAGATGTTTCCCCAACAGTGTCATAAACCTTTGAACACCATACCTGGAAGGAAGAATTCTGGCCATACCAAACAGGCATCTCCCACACATGCAAACAAGAGACCATGGAAAATCCACCGGGAATATGGTTTGAAGACACCTCCATTTTTGGACTGACTGGCCACAAAGAACGCCAGGGAGAATGTGGGGAGGCATTTTATGATAGTGCTCTGCAAGCTGGACCCAGGAAGCAAAAGAACGAAATAGACGGTGCTGGAGACAAAAAATGGCAGGAGCCTAAGCAGCATACTTCTCCTCTAAAATAGGACAAGGAGGAAGAGGGAGAAAGAAGAAAAAAGAAATGTAAAAAAAATATACTGTTGCATTCTCAGTTTGCTTCCCAGGAATTAGGAGTATCTGCAGCGCATGGTTAAAAAAGCATCAACAAGGCAGCTACAACAGTGCAATCAGAGCTTCACCTGTTTGTAATGCATATTGCAACACATATCCAAGTGGCTGGCACTTTGATCATACCGTCCTGCTGCCATCTTGACTCTTATCTATCATTCCTTGTGAACAAGAAAGAGATCAAAACTAAGCACTGCCAAAACTGATACTCCAAGACTGGGATTTTTGTGAGTGGAGGGTTCTCTCCCACATGGAATATTGTGGACATCATTATATTTCATAATGCTTTATGAAGATTGTTCTTATTATTACTTAACAATCTTATTCATTATTCCCTCTTCTCTTTTTCTCTTCCACTATGTTTTTCCACAGCAGGAATCTCTGCCAGCTGTGTGGAATCTCAACATGCCTTGCCCTAAATTATGCCACACCCATTATTCTGGGTGTTCATAAATTTTAAAGAAAAATCATAGGAATGGGCCAGTTCTACTGGTTCATCTACTTACTAGCATTTGGAAGCTTCTACTGAGACATGCTAATAAGCAAGCAAAAAGGACAACTCATTCATTGTATGATGAATATGCTACTATTACATATAATGTTATTTATCTTATTCAGGCTTACAATTGAGATAATTATAGGATTTATACTCATTATTGCTGTTTTTAGAATCATTTGGATAACTAGTAAAATTAAATGTAAGTTTTAATTAGTGTAGGCTGCTAGATGAACAAAAATTAACACCGTGAGAAAAAAACATTGCATTAATCACACTAATTAAGTTAATCCAAAATAAAAACATTCACATTAGACTAACTTTCCAAAACGAATTCCATCTTGAGTGCCATTACAGAGAATAATATGGAGGGAAGTGTGTAGTGGGGTGCCCCAGGGCTCTGTTCTGGGCCCAGTACTCTTCAACATCTTCATCAACGATTTGGATGAAGGGATAGATGGGGAACTCATCAAATTTGCAGATGACACCAAGCTGGCAGGAATAGCCAACACTCCAGAAGACAGGCTTCAGGTACAGAAGGATCTGGACAGACTTGAACACTGGGCACTAACTAACAAAATGAAATTCAATGGTGAAAAAAGCAAGGTTCTACATTTAGGCAAGAAAAACCAAATGCACAAGTACAGCATAGGTGGCACCATGCTCAATAGTAGTAACTGTGAGAGGGACCTCGGAGTCCTAGTAGACAATCAGTTAAATATGAGCCAGCAGTGTGCGGCAGCTGCCAAAAAGGCCAACACAGTACTAGGCTGCATTAACAGAGGGATAGAATCAAGATCACGCGAAGTATTAATACCACTCTTCAATGCCTTGGTAAGGCCACACTTGGAATACTGCATCCAGTTTTGGTCACCACGATGTAAAAAAGATGTTGAGACTCTAGAAAGAGTACAGAGAAGAGCAACAAAGATGATTAGGGGACTGGAGGCTAAAACATATAAGGAACGGTTGCTAGAATTGGGTATGTCTAGTTTAACGAAGAGAAGGACAAGGGGGGATGTTATGTCCCGAGCCTTGCAAACGGCTCGGGCGTTTGCAGGCAGTCCCGGGCAGGTGCAAAGCTGCCCGGGACCAGACAGGCTGTCGCCAGCGCCGTGCGCATGCGCGGGTGCTGGCGCGGGAAAAGTAACCCATTTACCCGGGAGTTGCCTATATAAGAGGCTGCGAGGCGTTTGGGCTGAGCTGAAGCCATCTTCCTGTAAGCTGAACGCTGAATAAAAGAACCTGAGAACTCCAGCTGCTTCTCGTGTCTGTTTTCCCGCCAAGGACGCAACACTGGCGACGAAGGTGGGATGCCTTGCACTACCTGGAAAGGAAAAAGTGTAAGCTTACCCAAGGAGTCCTGAGCGGCGGAAGAGGAACGGTGTTGACTCAGCAGCTGCCCGCCAATCCAGTGCGCATTCGGGGGTAGGCTGGCTGATAGACCCGTCTCCTGAAGATCCGAAGATGGCGAAAATCGGAAGGCTTGCGGAATTCGACGTCTCACATCCAGAGCGGTGGGAGTCCTACGTATCCAGAATGGAGAACTACTTCAAGGCAAACCAAGTGAGGGAAGATAGCTTGAAGGCTGCCACCCTGCTTTGCGCTTGCGGCCAAGACGCCTTCGAAATCGCAGAAAACCTTGCAGCACCTGTTCCAGTAGAGTCTGTAAGCTACGCAGACCTGAAGAAGCTGCTGAAGGACCACTTTCACCCCAAGGTGTCCGTTATCTCATGGCGCCACACCTTCGAGCAGAGGGATCAACGGTCCGGTGAGTCAGTCAAGGAATACATCGCCGCGTTACGGAAGGCCGCCAAGCCCTGCGAGTTCAAGGACCTCGAGGAACGACTGAGGGACCGATTCGTGTGCGGGTTGAGGCATCGAGAGCTACAACAGAGACTTTTCGCTAAGGAAGAATTATCCTTCCAAGACGCTTTAAGGGAAGCCACCGCGGAAGAAGCAGCAGGCGGCGCCGTCAAGAACATGCGGCCGATCAGAAGCAGTGCAGAGGGTGCGTCCGTGCACCAAGAAGACGTCCGACGAAACTCCGAGGAGGATCCGGACGAAGAAGTCGACCGTCTACACCCCGCGAAGGGAGAAAATCAGAAGGAAAGCTCTTCAGCTCCGCTCAAGTGCATCGGCTGTGGAGGTCGCCACAGGAGAACCGACTGCAAGTTCCGCTCCGCTACCTGCCGGGCATGCGGCAAACAAGGGCACATTGCAGCTGTGTGTCTGGGCCGACGAAAGGCACAACCTCAAGAAGAACGCCTGAAGGGTACCAGAGTCCCCAGCCAGAATAGGGTAGGTTTTTGCGCTTCGCGTAGAAACATTCTGTAGGACAGGCACACACAAGCCCATGAAGAAAAAGCTGTCACTCAACGTGAAGCTACAAGGGGTTCCATTATCTATGGAACTAGACACAGGGTCTGCCCTTTCCATCATTTCATTGCATACATTTAGGAAGATTTGTTCCAGTAGTGGGACTAAGGCCAAGTTAAGGCCTTCTGATATTGTATTAACTGATTTTCAGAACTCAAGAGTGTGTGTTAAGGGGGAGGCCACCCTTAACGTGCAATACAAGAGTTTTGAAGGTCCACTAGACTTGTTAGTAGTAGGGGGTGAAAGAACGAGTCTCATAGGACTCGATTGGTTTGAGGCCCTGGGGATACACGTCACAGGACTCAACAGCTTACAAACACTCGACCTACAGGAAGTCTGCAAGGAATTTGCAGATGTTTTCAGCCCCAGCTGGGCACATTCAAAGGACCACCTGTGTCCTTAAAGCTAGACCCCACTGTCACTCCCATTAGGATTAAAGCAAGAAGGGTCCCTTTTGCTTTAAAAAGTAAGATTGACACTGAATTAGACAAACTAATCCAACAAGGAATCCTAGAACCTGTTGATTCCAGCCCATGGGAGACCCCCATTGTCACGCCTCTAAAGGCAAATGGGGACATTCGCATTTGTGCTGATTACAAATGCACACTCAATAAGGCATTGCAGCAACATGCCTATCCTGTTCCTGTGGTCAGTCACATCCTGGCCTCTCTCAAGGGGGGGCGTGTTTTTGCAAAGCTTGACCTAGCTCAAGCATATCAACAGCTGCCTGTTGATAATGATGCTGCCATAGCTCAGACTATTGTGACCCACAGGGGAGCCTTTAAGGTAAAAAGGCTGCAGTTTGGAGTGAATGTCGCTCCTGGGATTTTCCAAAGCGTAATGGAAAACACACTACGAGGTATACCAGGGGTCTGCCCCTACTTTGACGATGTCTTGATTGCAGGAGACTCCACACACATTCTAGCTGAAAGGCTTAGGGCTGTCCTGTTAAGATTCAGGAAATCAGGCCTTAAGCTCAGAAAAGACAAATGCAAGATTGGGGTGCCTTCTACTGAATTTCTGGGATTCAAAATTGATGCTGCTGGGATTCATCCTGCTGAATCCAAACTAACTGCTATTTTAGAAGCACCCAGGCCAAAGTCTAAGGCCGAACTTCAGGCCTTCCTAGGCCTCCTGAATTTCTACAATTCTTTTCTTCCACATAAAGCTAGTGTAGCTGAGCCTCTTCACAGGCTACTAGACAAACAAGCTGTGTGGCTGTGGTCACAAGCACATGAGGCTTGCTTTAAAGAAGTCAAGGCCTTGCTCACTTCTAACAGTGTTCTTGCACATTTCAACGAGTCTCTTCCTGTGTGCATCGCTTGTGATGCATCCCCCTACGGGGTTGGAGCTGTCCTGAGTCACCTCAGGTCTGATGGAACTCAGGTTCCTATTGCATACTACTCCAGAACATTGTCTTCTGCCGAGCGCAACTACGCTCAGATAGACAGGGAGGCTCTGGCTGTTGTTGCTGGAATTAAAAAATTCCACGATTTTCTATATGGCAGGCATTTCACGGTCTTCACTGACCATAAGCCTCTGCTGGGACTGTTTACCACACGTAAGCAGACTCCCCACATCATTTCCCCTAGAATGCTTAGGTGGTCTATTTTCTTGTCTGCATATGATTTTTCATTACTCCACAAGCCTGGGAAAGAAATGGGCCATGCTGATGGCCTCAGTAGGTTGCCTCTGCCAGTAGTAGAAGCTGACCCCGCGCCAGCTGTCAACATTCTATCAATCCAAGCCTTGCCCGAGCTTCCTCTTAGTGCCAGGGATGTTACCGCTGAAACAGGTACAGATCACACACTTTCACGTGTCCGCTCCTGGGTCCTGTCCGGGTGGCCTGAGCACTGCCCTAGTCCTGAGTTTCAGAGTTTCTGGTCCAAAAGGAACGAATTGTCCCTTTCTCAGGGTTGTTTGCTTTGGGGAAACAGAGTTGTCATTCCCACCTCAATGAGGACTAGGGTCTTAGAATCCCTCCACGAGGGTCATCCTGGCATTGTTCGTATGAAGGCTCTTGCACGCAGCCAC